TTTCTGAGAAATCCAGGACACGAGCAACCTTTTTCCTTAGACTCATGTCCTATTTATCACATCACATGCCACGGGGTGGGGATGGGAGTGGGGGGACGACACGACAGACAAGCACAACTGGGAAGCAGTATTAGCAGTTTTACCCATTTTGAGCATTTACGCAAAAATGGGTAAAAAGGACAAGAAAACACAGGTGCCTGTGTGTGTCTGTAGAGGTCAGCCTGAGTTCACTGAACCAAACTCACAAGCTGTTCGGTACACGTGTGCAGCTAAGTGACCAGCATGGGTGTTTTATGTGCTGTTTCATTTCATTTTGTTTTACTTTGCCCTGTCACTCTGTTGTCAAGTATCTCTTTGGAGATCAAACTTAAGGCTCTCTTGCCTTGCTCTCTCCATGAAATGTCCTGGAGGCTGTGTTTAAAGCAGGGAGAAGAGAAAGTAATGAGGGAGATGTCAGAAGCCCCAGACTCACCATCATTAACTCTATGGCACAGGTTGCATTTCCACCTACGCTGGTCAATGAAGGACACGAAGGGGTTGATGTACGTCCGACACGCTCGGCACCTCACAATAGTGTTTGACGTTATCACTGGCAATTGCTGGGAAAGAAAGTAAAGACGTTGTAGTGGTACAAAGACCCCAGTGAAAACCAGGACACAAACACGCCTGCTCCACATACAAGACAATGTGTGTCATATGACACCTAGTGACACGCATGCTTAGCAAGTTGAGCAACTACCACTTTCCACGAAGGCAAGCCATACTGATATAAAAGCAGTCAGGAGCTGACCAAATTGCCTGGTTAACCAAGAAAACAATGCCAGGACCTCTCAGCCACCCTCAAGATATAGCAGCCAGGGAGTGGCACAGCAATGAGGGAAGGCCTTGCTCTTGGCTGAGTGTCTGCCCCTGGCAGCAGGCAGGAAAGGCTCCTGCATGCCTGACAGCTGTCCCACAGAGAACAGTAGTCAATGCCACAGCAAATATACCCTATGCTTAGCTTAGTTTGCAACAGAACTTTATGGTTAGTCAACTTAGAAAATACCAAAGACATTAAAATATCACATAGTATTCTATGTCCCTGAATTCATCCATTATCATTTTATATACTTCATTTGGGATTTAAAAAAAAAATCAATACATAACTTTTGTACTTAAAGTTCCGTGAGGGAAAAAAATGGGAAATAAACTAAAAATTAGAAAATGATATTTACTCATAATTCTAGAATGCAGAGGACATAACTATTAATACTTAGTATGCATACTTCTAGAAGATATCATATATGGAATCTATACATAAAGAAAAACTCTCAGCACACACCTTTAATCCTCTCACTAAGAAGGCAGAGTAAGGTGGATTTCTGTGAGTTCGAGGCCAGCCTGATCTACATAGTGAGTTCCAGAACAGCCAAAAAAGGAAAAACCTCTTAGCTATGCATAGAAGAAATTAACTGTTTTGATTTAATGATAAGGGTTGTAATAGTGTTTAACCTATATGGTATTTACTGAATGAATAAATTCACAGGACTGGTTATTTGCTTTCTTTTTTCTCTCCTTTTTTTTTTTTTTTTTTTTTTTTTGGCTTTTCGAGACAGGGTTTCTCTGTAGATTTGGAGGCTGTCCTGACACTCACTCTGGAGACCAGGCTGGCCTCGAACTCAGAGATCCGCCTGCCTCTGCCTCCCGAGTACTGGGATTAAAGGTGTGTGCCACCAACGCCCGGCTGGTTACTTTATTTTCTATTCATTGATATTTTCTATCCATCTAAAAAAAAAAAAAAAAAAAAAAAAAAAAAAAAAAAAAAAAAATCGAGAAATGCAGCTTAAGTATAACCGTCTCTGGCTAAATTTTTTTCTAAACTTTTAAAATTTTATTTCGTGGCCAACCAGGCTATTGTCAGCTACTGCTAACATTATCTACACAAAATGTCAAAGACATGTGAAGACTCTACAACATGGCTGTTAAAGTACACCAGAGAGACTTTAAGAGAGACTTAAACTACCGCTTTCACTCAGCAGATCTGGCCTCCTAGAACCCCCCCCCCCACCACAAGGCTATGTAACTTCAGTCAGATAACTTCCCTCTCTCATCTGGACATACTGTTTAATAAAAGGCTCTTAAAGTTTATACATCAGCCATGGTGGCTGCAGCTTGCAGACTACTACTGAGTTCCCAGACTTTTTTAGAGAGCACCTCTGCGAAGTGTACCTGTCCTGTTGTGCTCTGGACTGATTATGTTGGTCAGGTGGCACACAGCTGTGGTTCACATCTGTCCCACTGGGAGGAGACCCAGGCCTAGTGCAGAGCAGGTGGTCAGGAGACGCGTGCTGGCCTCAATCTTACAGAAATTGTAATTTTTAAAATGTATTTCATTTTATTTCTTTTTATTTTGCATGTGCCAGTGAATGGGAATGTGTGTGGCTATGCTTGCCAAGGCCTCAATGTGGAGGTCAGAAGCCAACTTGTGGGAGTTGGTTCTTTCCTTCCTTCATGTGGGTCCTGGGGATCAATCACCAGCCCAGAAATGACTATTTCCAACTCTAATAAAAGAAGACAAACATTCTTAGAAAACAACGGAGTCTGGATACTTTGTGCATGTACCAGAAGCTAAATATTTAAAATGTACTTTACCGTCAGGTCTCTGAAGGGGTGTAACAGCAATCCTAAGGGAAGCTTAGCTTTATTCAGTAAAGCCTGTGTCTGTGGGATATTTGTCAGGGTGCAGCGGAATGAACTGAAAAGACACAAACACGTGGTATGTTAGCTGTCGGGGCATCTGCCCCTGCGAAGAGCTCAGTGAGAACCACTTGGGCTGGTGACTACAGCTATTAGCGGGGAGGAGATCACTCAACCAGGCCTGAATGGGACAGATATCAAAAGACCTAAATCAAGGACCACACATTTTCACAGTTGAAAAGCACAACACATTCTAAGTAAATGAGTGCCCTGTACAGCACAGGCAGGAGCCACAGAAAACGCCAAGGCTCCCAAATGCTATCGTCCTGCTTACTTGACCTTTCACCCTGAACCCATTCTTACCACAAGACTCATCCAGTCACGGCTTTGTGAATTCCCTGAACACCCACGTCTGCTGGTCCCTCCTGGGAGCTTCTTGCAGCACAGAATCTTGGGACATTTCCCAGGAGTGCAGCGCATTTACCCTCTCACTAACCTGAACACACATAAATCTTTCTTAACAGAATGTGAGCTCTCGGATCCCACAGAGCTCAGGAGACTTGTTTTGCCCCTGGGTACGTGCTATTAGCACAGGCTCCAGTGTCTCCTCTGAAAACGTGAGACTGAAAGGGCTCCATCCGAAATGTTCTGAGTAAAGACAGATGCTCAGAAGGTTTCAGATGCTCGAGTATTCCAGACTTTCCAGTCAAGAATGCCCAACCAAAGAAGTCGATGAAAACATTCCAAAAGCCAGAAGCACTTGTTTGGTAGCTTGAAGCATTTTAGAGACAGAATTCTCAACCTTAAATTCCTTAAATGATGACAACACTGACACTTAGAACCACAGTAAAAGACCTGAGTCAGTGCAAATCTAAAGCCAGTACTAATTACCCTTTTTAATTTTGAAGATTGCTGCTTTCAAAAACCATAACTAAACAAAAGGCATATACACCATTCCCCTAACTACAAGAATTCTTTATTTGGATGTTAAGTAGTCCAGGAAGACCTTTATGTGGAAGTCATCCTGACTCAGCATCCCACAGGCATTCACTACTGAAGCCAGCCAAGCTCTCACACATATGCACACACTATATTCAATTCCTAGAAACTTTGTGTAGTCATTCATTAATGCAACAATCAACCCAAGAACAACTTGGAATGGGGTCAGACAGCAGCTGTCAGCCTACACTCCTTGGTGCTTTTATGGAAACCATCCCAGCACTGCCTTTGTAAAGAAAGAAATTTTCAAAGACTACCTTACTTAAAGAGTGTCAGGGGTTCTGGGGAGATGGCTCAGGGGAAAGAGTGCTTGCAGTACAAGCATAAGGAACTGAGTTCAAATCTTCAGTAGTCACGTGAAAGAGCAGGAGTGGCCACGTGTGCCTGCTGTAGGGAACAGACAGGAGGATTGCTGGTGTGTGCTGACTGCCAGCCTGGCTCTAGGTTCAGTGAGTGACTGTCTCAAAGGAATTAAGCAGAGTGGCATATACCACCGTGACTCCAACACAAATACAGTGTGCCACACACATATACACCCCACACACAATCAAACTGAGGGAAGCTTCCATCTACTTCTATCCAAACCAAACAGAGAAGCCTATCTGAACAAAACCAAGGGACTGACACCATATTGCTTATTTCTGGAAGTTGTCCACTGTTTTCTTCAAAGTTCTCTGACTGTAAAAACACTGTAAAGAGTACCTACTCTGGGCTACAGTTTAACTTGCTGAGCTCTGTACTCAGATTAGGCACAGGAGCCCAAATAGGAGTCGGAGGTAAGATGTTCTTCTCCTGGGTGAGGTTCACAGGTCTGAGGCTTTCTGGCTGTGGAGAACTCTGTAGACTTAGTCCTCCTAAACTGGAGGACAGCTGGTTCACACCCGGGTAATGCTAAGAGAGATTCAAAGCAAAAGGACAATTACACAACAAATATGAAGAAAAGTTTCTAAATGGTAGATTTTAATTCAAAGGAAACTCAAGATGGTAAGAAAATTTACAGCTGGCTTCACTGTCATATTTTAACAAAGCAGTCAACTAAAAGCATCATTAAGCATTTCAAAGCTAAACCAATTTTATTCATAAGGTCACAGTGTTCAACATCAAAAACTACAGTTTACATTGGACAGGGATGAAAAGTGCTGAAGCATTTTCAAGTTTCATTAATTAGCAAGTTTCAGGATGAACCAATCAATGCCTTAGAATGAGCTCGTGTCTAGACTTCTACTCCAGTTATTTCCCGCTCCCTCCTTACACTTGCAGTATTAATATGAGTTCATAGCTTTCTCTTTTTTCTTCTGTTTTGTTTGTTTTCAGACAGGTCTCACTATATAGGTAGGGCTGTCTTGGAACTCGCTCTGTAGACCAGGCTGGCCTCCAACTCACAGAGATCCACCTACCTCTGCCTCCCGAGAGCTGGAATTAAAGGTGTGTGCTCCTACACACTTCACAGCTTTACATTAACTCAAAATAATTTCATGAGTTATTGTTATAATTTAGAACTACTCAACTTTTGAATTAAGTACATCAAAACTTACCAAAAACAATACCTACATTTATGCTTCTTTTGTTTTAAGGTCATTTGCATGACCAGCTCTTTATGAACTTTCCCTCAAAATACAAAATATTAAATTTACACAACCACAAAAATATTCAGCCAAGGAGATAAAAAGAATCCTTAAAGTTTAAGAAACAAATTCTACTACCATGAAAAATATTATTTTAACTAATTTTACTGCCTCTTAGGGTACATATTGAAGGACAAAAATTATGACAAGACAGATCTTTTGTTTTAACATGTGACTCATTCAGAAACAGCTTTTCTGTATTTTCTCATCACTTTTGTAAATTTAAATTTTTGTGAATGGATATCTTGTTTGCATGTATGTCTGTGCACCACTTGTATGCCTGATGCCCTCAGAGGCCAGAAGAAGGCATCAGATCCCCTGGAACTGGAGTTGTTTGTCACAATAAGTGCTGAGAATAGAACCCAGGACCTCCATAGGAACAGTCAGTGCTTTTAACGACAGAGCTGTCTCTCCAGCATCAACGACACAAACCTCACATTTAATAATTGTACACTTACAATAAAAAGTTGATGCTATTTTGACATTTTTAAATATATTAAGTATAGTCTGTGCTCTACATCTGTAAGCTATAACCAAAAATTATATTATTTTGATATAAAAACTTTACAAAAAAACATATTCAGGGATATCTGACTTTACTCTTCACCTGTAGTCAACATTTTAAATTAGTTTCCCATTTAGTTCTTTTGTTGCTATTTATAATATAAACTAGGATGTACATACCACTCTAACCACAGGCTTTTTAACAAAGGACAAAAAAAGAGATACACCTTTTGTCTACATACAGTCTACATACTCCAGTAGACATCTGGAGTAGAAGGTACACAGCTATCACCAAATGCTAAAACCTACTAGGTAAAACTTAATGAGGAACTTCCAAATGACCAGGAGGTCACCATCCAAAGCATTAGCCAATCTTTGGGACGGAGACTAGGTTTATGTCATTGGGATGTCAGAATCATGCTATGTAAATAACAACATCAAATAATAAACCTGAATATAATCAAGCTGTTAGATTTAACTCATGGGTCACAGGAAATGGAGTAGAGGAAGATGGCACCAAAAAGAAAAAAATAAGCAATGGAGAACACTCCACAGGACAGCTGGCTCAGTTTTTCCATCAGACCAAAGCATGAACTCAAGGGGTAAGTATTGCTTCAAATTAAAATGATAATTATAACACATAAGCAAATATAACAGTTAAGTTGTTGTTTGGCTAATAATTTGTATAATCAAATATAAAGGGCAGTTCTAAAATAACTGGGGAAATCTGTTATTTTCTCAGGTAAATGCCAGCTTAGTAATATAAAATTTTTAAAAAATAAACATTAAGGGCTGCAGAAGTGGCTGGATGATTAAGAACAACAGCTCTTCCAGAGGATCCAAGTTTACTTCCCAGTGTCCACCCATGTTGGAAAGCTCACAACTGCCTATAACTCTAGCTCCAAGGGACCCAATACCCTCTTCTGGCCTCTGTGGTTATCTACACATACATGGCAGATAAACAGACGCACATGTAAACATAAATCTTAAATTACCAATTTATTTCCTGATTATTAAAAATACCTGTATAAAAACTTCAAAAAACCTAAAGATATAATAAAAAAAATCCAAGCTATAGCTAATCTTTTCATCTAGACTCCACCTCTTTAAAGCTCTGAATATCAAAGATGTGCCCCAATTGATATTTTACAATTTTTATCAGTTCCTCAAACATGACTGAAAACACACCTGCGGATACCCAGAATACCCTGGGCCACCGGGATGTCCGCCAGAGCTTGGAGGTGGTGCTGCATTCTGATAAGCAGGTTGAAGAGTTGGGTAGCCATAGCCAAATGGCTTTGCCACCTTCGTGGGGTGAGAAGCAGTGGGAGTAGGAGCTGCAGACAGGGCCTGGGCGAGGGTGGGGTTAGGTTCCAGGGCACGATCAGGAGCAGGGCTGCTTGCTGAAGAAGAATGCATATCTAGCAAGGAAAACAATGAGGTGTTCACAACACCAAATAAGGAAGATAAGCAATAATCCTTGGCATCTTTTTTCTTTTCAAAATGGTTTACTGTGACAAATGGAAAACATATACCAACTGGGAAGAGCAGATCACTGAACCCATGTACAAATCATCCAACTTCAATAATACCAATATTCCATCAATCTTATTATATGTATTGCTTTGTCCTATGCATAATTTCAACAACAAATTCTTCAGCTGGAACGTCTAGTAATACCACACACAGCTAACAGTGCATTTCTGTTTCTTAATTCTCTCAGCAGAACTGGGGCTAAGGAGCAGAAAACAAAGCAAAACAATGAAGAATATAAACTACTCTTTTTTTCTACATGCCCTTTATCTGACCCTTAATTTAAAACCCATGAGAGGAGTGACATATTCCTACAATCCCCTAGACATCTGCATTATATGCACAGATAAATTGTGAGTTGAATGTGAAAAATGGTGTCTAAAAGTTCCAGAACAACATCTGGCATCAGTAAGTGCCTAAAAAAAAATTAGTGACTGGATGTTCTTTATTTTTATTTAAACTTAAAAGTAAATTTTCAAAAATTTCAGTGAAACTGGAAAAAAATGGAAAACTTGGCAGCACATACAAAAAGAAAACTAAAAATTACTATGCAACCAATTTAACATTTTTTGTATACTAACTTGGTCTCATTTTAAAATCAACTCTGTAAGTTACAATTACTTGATATTTTCATATTAAAATGGTATTCTTTACCTGCCTAAGAGTCTTCAAAAGCACATTCTGAAAAGTACACGACAATAAAAACTCATTGTTCACAAGTCTCTTGAAGAATCCCATGTGTTTGAATCTGGAAGGTGGCTGTAGATGTTTTGCCGTCACCTTGTCTTACCATGCACACATGCATGAACACACATGTACACTTATGGGCATTCTCACAAACTATAGACTTCTCATGAGAGCCAGAGCTTCAGTGTAGCCCTAATTGTTACATTTTCTGCTTGTTGCTCCTGGATACAAACACAGGTAGAGGGATCTCTAAAATGTCAACAGTATCAATGTAAGCTAGAACACTGGAGTTGTAAGCATAGAGGTTTAACTAAATTACTCCCTTGGAAACAATAACATTTCCTATGTTCCTAAGTTTTAAGGTCTTTCCTAGTGCCAGACACACAGTAGGCAACCTTCAATTCGTTTATTACTAAGGCTACAGGTGTTTGCATAGTTCCTTAATTTGAATGCAAAAATAAATAGCTACAAACCTACTAAGGTCACAGACATGCAGTCAAAGCACAGTTTACTACAAGATTAAAATTTGTTGGTTGAATGAATACAGACAGATAAACCAAACCAATGTCTGACACTCGGGCCTTCACAATTTAACTGATTGTACTTCAAGGAACGTTTTGTTGTTGTTTTGTTGGTTCGAGACAGGTTTATTTCTCTGTGTAATAGTTTCAAGGAACCTCTTACTTTAGGCTAGTTTGGAGCTTATGAAAGAACACCCAGCTGCAGTAGTTGCCTTCAATACAAGAAGCAACTCTTGGATACTACTTGGTAATAGCAATTGTTACTGAAATGGTTTCTAATTGCCACACACATGCACATATACCCATTGATTCCTAGGAAAATATGCTCGACCACAAAGGACTGTTATTTCAAACTTTGTGTAAAAAATCAGAGGGAATTAACCACTAAGCTGAGAGGATTAAAAGTTTTCTACTGACTCATGGCATGATGATAGCGAGTAGTGTTTCTTAGGTACAGAACACTGTAGCTTCAGCTAAATTTCATACTAGTGAAAGCGATATTATCAAAGTGATAAGGAACCCAAGAGAAGGTCAAAGTTATTTGTTCTGTCTTTCTGAATGCTGATGTCATGAGAGTTAGGAGTGTGTCAGGTGTGTGTCAGTGACAGGAGACAGTGACATAAGGAAGATTATAGTGTTCAGTCACTATAATGAAATGACTACTTGTTAGAGCAGTTCATTTATTTTCTGTTAATACCATCTACTCTTCCTCTAGTCTCCTCATGGAATGAAGTTATTTCCTGATATAATTAAAAATAATGCCCCTAGAAGTTACAAGATGGCTCAGTAGTTTAGAACCCTTGCTCTTGCAGAGGACATGGCTTCAATTCCAAAGGCTCACAACCATCTGTAACTACAGCACCAGAAAGTGCAATCCTCTCTTGTGACTAGGAAAACACATAATACACACATATATGTAGGCAAAGCTTTTATACAAACATATAAAATAAAAAGTGTTGCATGTAAAACCTACTCCCAAGTGGCTTTTAATAAGTGGAGCCACAGGGGAAGTAAGGAATTAAATACATTATACTAAGAGCTGGCTAGAAGGGATTCAAGGACCTCTGCATACCAACAAAAACAGCACAATTTAAGGACTAGCTTTTAAAAGAAGGTAAAGAAGAACACCATTTCCTATTAGTTTAGCTTTGTTTTTTTAAGAAAGAAAAAAAAAATTTCTTCAGGCCACCAGAAACAACATGCACAGCTGTCATACGACAGTATTAAGGGTGAAAAATGCAGGAAAATGCCCCACTTTTTGTTAAAAATGCAGCCTGCTTTTGACCTGTGATCACAGTCACCTTTGAAGTGACTGGTGGCCAGTCACTTAATGAATAGTGCACACACTCAACGTAAGGTACCTGGGTAGCTGCCTCCTTCCAGGGCATCGTAGCTGTTGGGCAAGGGCGAAGCACTGCTTGTGGTAGAGGAGCTGTCAACACCTGAAAGGAAAAGCAAACACTTGCTAAGTTCAAAGGGACAGCTCATCTCATAGCTCCTGCGGGCATGTGAATAAAGATGGCTTTGCTGAACTAGGAAAATTCCCAACTCTTGCCAAAAATTAAAATGGCTGATGTTTGAAAACACATGCGCGCGCGTGCGCGCGCGCACACACACACACACACACACACACACACACACACACACACACACACACACACACACACACACAGAGAGAGAGAGAGAAAGAGAGAGAGAGAGAGAGAGACTATCCAACAAATGGCTCAAACCAATGGGAAGTTGGACCCTGACCTCCACATACTGGCCATGGCAGGCACATGCCCACCCCAACAAATACATAAATGTAATAAAAATTATTTTAAAAGAATAACAAATAATGGTGGGGAGAATATGCAGCTGAATATTCTCAGTGGAATAAAATTCAGTTAGACATACATTAACTTCAATAATAAACATCAAACTCTTAAAAATAAGCAAATATAAATTTGGGACTAGCAGATATTTTAATGCAACCACACATGAAATATTACATCTATCAATCGCAAGGTATCAAATACACTCTATTTGTACTAGGAAGTTTTAAATAATTAAGATGTCAGAGCTGTTTCATACACTGACAAAAGACTCTGGGGCTTGAGAGATGGATGGTTCAGCAATTAAGAGACCTTCTCTCAGAGGACCTCGGTTCGATTCCCGGCACACACATGGCAGCTCCTAACCAGCTGTAACTAGTTCCAGAGGCTCTGACGTCCTTGTCTGGCCTCTATGAGCACACATATGATACATATGTACATGCAGGCAGAACACTCATACATATAAAACAAGAAGACTTTATGGCTGCATTTCTTCCACATAACATAAAAGTAGTTTGGTGCCTCCATTTATCCATGTGCAGAATACAGATCAAACAATACCGCCGTATTGAATAAGGGAATATAAATGGAAGCCATGCTAGTGAACACATACATCAGACAATGAAAACTTACTGTTTGTGACCATTCAAACCGGTTAGATTAAGAAAAGCAGAGTGGTGCTAGGACACATGGGAGAATAGAACATAAAATACAGTTCTTTCATTCATTCACTCAACAAATACTTCATTGGGAATCTCAAGTAAAAACCCTGGAGTATACACTGATATACAGTATAGAAAACGCATATGGTCCCTCTTTTGAGATCACTGACAAAACTCCCTGGTACAGAAGTTATTCCTGGCTTTAACTGAGACACAACCAGGATTTTAGTTCTTCTTTTTTTCTTTCTTTTTTACAAGTATTTCTTTTATCTTTTTATCCAGTATATATTCTACATTAAGCACACCCTACCACACCTGTCCCCTTCCATTAGTCCTTTTGTTCACACAGACAATTTTACTTTCACTTTTATGTAATTTATATGTGCATGAGTTTATACATCTATATAGTCACAGATAAGAGGAAACATACAAATTTTGTTTTCCTATGACTGGTTTCATTCACTTGATATGACTATCTCCAATTACATTCATTTTTTCCTGCAAACAACTTAAACACTCTTTATGGTGAAAACAAAAAACAAAAACTTCTATTGTACATAAAAAATCAATTGATTTTTATTGGAAACCTAGGTTGACAGAGTTTGAACTACACTTTAGCCTGGTTTTTAACTGTGATGTAAAAAGAATGGACATGTATAACCATCCTTCAGTGAATGCCCTTCAGATAACCTTAAGAATTATCTGTATTAACTAAGGACACAATCAACAGTTATTTATATAGGGATGTTTTATTCTCAGCAAAGAATATGACTTCAAGGCAAAAAACTGCAAGTTCAGAGTATGTCATTTACCTGCTATATAACCTTGGGTCAGTTAGCACCCTAACAAGCACATGGTGAGCTAGATGGCTCAGTCATAAAGGTACTTGCCACCAAGTCTGACTACTTGCTGGAAGACTAACTGTATTTATTAACAGCATCCATCTTATGATGGATATATATATATATATTCTCTTAATGAAGAATGGAAAGGAATGGTTCTTCCTGTTTGTCTACATATACAACTCAAGCAAAATGCTGATTGATGTACAGGGTCAAACGTCTCTCAGTGATGGGCACAGTGGCACATACCTATAATCCTGGACTTAGGAGGCTCAATATTGAGCTTAAGCCTGGGGTACCTAGTGAGATCCTGTCACCAACAATTAACAAAAAGCACTGTAGTACTGGCATTAGTGTGTGTGTGTGTGTGTGTGTGTGTGTGTGTGTGTGTGTACAGGTATGGTAATACATGCCTGTAATTCTAGCACTCATAAAGTTGAGGCAGAAGGATCATCAAGTGTGAAACCAGCCTAGGCCACATAACAAGACCTCTTCTCCAAACAAGTAACAAACAAGCAAACAAACAAAAACACAGTAACTCAATTACCAGTAGATGATGGTACTGTATCTAGCAAATGGACTACAGTTCAGTCAAAAGGAATTAAGTAAGTTCTCCTAACTGCTACAATGTGGACAAATCTTGAAAACATGCTAAAGACAAATGGCCAGACAAAAAAGAGCACATATACTGTACAGTTCTATTTCAGTGAATCCCTAGGATATGCAAATCTATGGAGCCAAAGGTAGACCAGTAGTCAATGTGGGCCGAGAAGAGAGCAAGAGGAGGAGTCACAGCAAAATGGGTACAGGGCTCTTTGGGGTTAAAAAAATGTTTAATCCTATTTAGCTCAACCTTCTTTAGTACACCACAGCATGGGGCAGGTACTACAAAATGCTCCACTGCCTAAGTGCTCACTACAACCACCCAACCCTTGGGACACAGAACTCTCCGTGATGCTGGGAACATAAAAGGCAGAAAGCACACAATAGGATGTTGAGCATCATCAGCTAGCAGGGCAAAGGGAATCAACACAGTAACACAGCACCACCTTCACATGTACCAAGACAGTAAAAACCAAAGGGACCCGGAAGAGCATCTTTTGGTAAGGATGCAGAAAAACAGGAAACTTCATGGAATTGTACAATAGCGCAGCCACTTTAGAAAACAGTATGGCAATTTCTAAAACTACAGTTACTAAATGACCAAGAAACATTGTAAGATAAATGAAAATAAAGCTTCACAAAAGCTTATTGACAAATGTTCATAGTAGCAAGACTAGTTACAGCCAAAAGATACAAACAACCCAAATGTCCACCAACTCAGGAAAAGGGAAATAAAGTGATGTACAAAATAGAATGGTTTTTGAGCAATGAAAAGGAATGAATGCTGATGTAGGTGACAACATGGATGAGCTTACTATGCTCAGAGAAAGTCAGTCACAAAAACCTCATTTGTCTGAGCTACGTGTTGTTGAGAAAGGGAGAATGCAAAATTGACTGCTAAAATATCAACAGTTTCTATTCTGAGGTAATAAGAATGTTCTGGAATAGTGATGAGTAACAAAGAAATTAGCAAGTTAACTTTATGGTATAAGCTATACCCCTAACAAAACTGCTATAAAACACTATAGTAAGGCAAAAGTAGGCAACTCTCTATGAGTCCAAGGTCAACCTGGTCTACATAGTGAGTTCCAGGCCAGTCAAAGCTACAAAGTGAGACCCTGTCTGAGAATAAACACCAACAATCTATGGTATACTCTATGACCAAAAACTGGTTTAAATGTAACTATTGAGAAATAATAATCCTTGCTGGGTATGGTGGTGCGTGCCTCCTAACATTCAGGAGGCAGAGCAAACTGAGTCTAAGTCAGTCACTCTACATCAGTGGTTTTCAACCTTCCTCATGCACTTTTCACAATACATTTAATAATAATATCCTTTATTTAATACAGTTCCTCAGTTGTGGTAACCCACAACCATAAAATTATTTTCGTTGCTACTTCCTAAATATAATTGTGCTGCTGCTATGAATCACACTATAAATATATGATATGCAGTATATCTGGGATAACTGTGCTGTTGCTATGAATCACACTATACATATATGATATGCAGTATATCTGGGATAACTGTGCTGCTGCTATGAATCACACTATACATATATGATATGCAGTATATCTGGGATAACTGTGCTGCTGCTATGAATCACACTATACATATATGATATGCAGTATATCTGGGATGTGATCCCTGTGGACCCACAGGCTGAGAACCACTGCCATATGCTGACTTAAACTGTCCTTAACTCCAGTTCCAGGTCATCTAGTGCCCTCTTCTGGTCTCCCTGGGCCTTGGCACACATACAGTGCACACATGCAAACACTCATAAACACAAAATTAACAACTCTGGGACTGGAAAATGGCTCAGCTGTCAAGAGCACTGCCTGCTGTCCCAGAGGACCCGAGTTCTATTCCCAGCACCTACAAGGTGGTTCACAACTATCTGAATCTCTAGTTCCAGGAGATTCAGCACCCTTCCCTGACCTCTACATACAACTCTTTCATCCAAACCTGATAACCTGAGTTAGACTGCCTAGGACCAACATGACAGGGCAGAGTACAGACTCCCACAAGTTGTCCTCCGACTTTCACAAACATGCTGTGGCATACATTCATCCCACATATAAGTGAATGCTTAAAAAAATTGATAATAAAATCTCACATAATTATTCTTGAAAAGGAATAAAGCCAAAGAAGATATTCATATCAAATTATTACAGACGGCACTTCTATCTAATCCCGATCTGAGGCTCTTTCATGGCAAGTCAAATGTTAAAATTTTAGCATACTAAAAATTTGCTCACTTTGAAGTAGATATAAACTTCCACCTCTAACCAAAAAGCTATTTGCAACTGCTATCTCCTAAGAAAGGGAAAATCCATTTTCTTCAGTGGAATGTCACTTCGTGAATCAACCACATTATAAGCCAAGCATTCCTAGGAGTAGCTGGCCAACTCAAAATCAACCTCATTTTCTTGTGTGCTTTTTGTTTATTTCTTTTTGTCTTACTGGTTTTCTTTCTTTTTTAGTTTGCTCTGATTTTCATTTTTTGTTTTTCCTTTAGAGAGAGAGAGAGAGAGAGAGAGAGAGAGAGAGAGAGAGAGAATGAATGAATGTGCCCTTTAAGCTGGATGGGGAGCAAAGTGGGAAGGATCTAGGAAGAGATGGGGTAGAAAGACTATCCTAAAAATAACAGTATATGAAAAATATTTAATAAAGGTTAAAAAAGTACCCATCTTAATGATGCCATAGCTACAAGCTTTCAAGTATTACTTTTGTAGAAACAGTTGTTGTAATTTATTTAGATTTTAAGTCTGCTCATTTGCTTTCAGAAGTCCAGTTCTTGTCACAGTATCAAAGCAATGACAGTAGTAATGACAAGTGCACTACTAAGAGTCAGGAACAGTTAACACAGTTGAACTCGGATACAACTTAGTGCTTAATTAGTCCAGTCTAGTGCATTTCATACCATCCCTGCCAACACCAGTCAGAACTGTACTAAACATGCACACATACAAACACATATGAAACCTGTATGTCGACATCCTGAACATGCGGAAAGACATCTCCATGAATTCACTACAATCCTAGAGGAAAAACACCTAAAAAACCTTCACACTGTAAGCATTCTAACCATGGCTTATACTTGGCTCACATCCTCATTTCTCAAGACTGCTGTACCACCCTCCCTCTTGCCTTACAATATAGTTATACCACACACCTACCTAGCAATACAACTCCCTTTCCCCCTGTGCTCAGGCCAGTACACTTGAGCCTGACTTCCTCTCTCAACTTGGGCAATCTTTCCCTTAGGCCAGTAGAAAGCATTTCCTCCCCAGGAAAGGCATCCTTTAAAATCCTAAATCACTGCCTTTCCAGGTAGTACTATAGTTATAAATGCTATTTCCCTAGCTTAAGTATTTGTGGAGCCTCTGTATTGTTCTTTAGAACAAAAGGACAGACTGATCATTTATCTAAAATACACAGAACCAAAAAGGTTTCAGGTTAAAATTTTTCTTTCAGATTCTGGAATATTTATATATAAAAGATGAGGTATCTTTGAAACCAAATCTAGACATAGGATCATTCATATTTCCCATGTACCTTAAACATGGGGTCAAAAATAGCACTGGATCCCTGAAGCTGAGAAAATATAAAAACACTGAAGCCTGAAGGAAAGGTCTAAGTTGTCCTCCGGGGGTCAACAAAGACCGAGAGATTTACTAGTATTGCTCAATTTTAAGTTAACTGTGTAGACAGGGGTTTCCTTCCACACAACGTACGTAAGACATGCAGGAAAGGGAAAGGGAGACTCCATGTCCACCAGCTACTAGTTGGGGAAAAGTGGCAGCCCCCATCTCTGACTCGTTTGTATTACTAACAACAAGTTTTATAATAGCATCCACCCAGGACTGGCAGGATCACCCAGTGTAGCAGACACACATGAAATGTGCACCAGTGAGACTCAAGCAATCTTCCCTTTCCCTTTCTATCTCCCCATCCCAATGGGGAGACCTACCAGGAAGAAAGAAAGACATGAGAGCCCATCTGAAGGCGCTGCCAGCAGTCAAATCCAGAACAATATGTTATCAGGGGTCTTCATAAAAATAAATCCAGCGTCAATATAGGACGTTGAGAGTTTGAAAATATTAATGAATACTAAAGCACTGGGTAACAGCTGAGTAAAGAATGCAGTATTCAGGACTGGAGTGATGGCTCAGCAGCTAGAGTACTTGCTGAGCAGTGAGGACCAGAGTTCAGATTTCAGCACCGACATAGCAAGCCAGACATCCCTTGCATGCCTGCACTTCCATTTCCAAGAAATCCACTCTTGGAATCCTGCAAGAAGTGCACTCTTCCGACCTCTGTGCACAGCACTTGGGCACACATGGAATTCAAAAACAAAAAATCTCTCCAAAGTACTCATTAGCTTCAACAGGGCAAAGAGTGACTTGACAGCATCCATGTGGCAGATGCCACCTTAAGAGAATGCTTGCTGTTAGCCTCATCTCAGAATGGAACAGACATCACCAGGGACACTGCAAATACAACACTGCCTTAGAAATCCTGTCAGAACTGTGTGCTCTAAGCCCGGTGTGGCTGTGAACACATGTAATTAATTCCAGCAGCTGAAGGGTGGAGGCCAGCCTTGACTCTACAGAGAGTATGAGACCAACATGGGCTACATGATACTCAGCCTCAATAAATCAAAAGAGCATCAATAAAAAGGGAAAACTGCATGATCTGACTCTAATTATCGGGAAACACTTTATAAAAGAATTGGTCTTTGTGAAATGGGAATTCCCAGACACAAGCCACACCTGTGTTAAAGGAGCTATGAGACTGAATGACAGGTTTAGAAAGCAGGAATGCTACAGTCTGGAAGCCACTCCCTTACTAGCCATTTATTTCCCACCTTTGCCTGTGACCTAACAGTGACTTACTCGGTAAACCCTTCTGGAATATACAAAGAGACTCTTAGCTTCCACCAATGCAACAAGAATGTCAATCAAATCATATCGCCTCACAGCAGAGGATCCCCCATGTGCTGTGTATCCCACCTGCCTGGTGTTTCCACCAATACATTTGAAAAGCACCTTGATTTGACTTCCTTTATTTTGCTACTATCAAAACTTCAGGAACCCACTAACCACAAGGGGATCTGTGCTCCTAAGCTAGTTACTCACATCGGGCTTTGAATAAATTCTCTCTTACTCCCTTTGAACTGAAAGCTTTGCTTTGGTTTGTTTTGTATAGACAGAGCTATTGAAGATATACCAACTAAGTTCAATGAACTATTATATGGACCGGACCCTAGGCCCTGAAAACAGCTACAAAAATTGAGATTAGGACAATTACTAAGAACTGATCATAGGCAATTACTAGACATTACTGCATCAATGTTCAATTTCTTGTAACTACCTTGGTGACCAGGCAATACACACTGTAGTATTTGGGAGTAGAGTTCATGCCTGTGATTTACTTTCAGACAATAAAGGGAAAAATACATGAAGAATTATATAAAGAAGGTGGTTTATTTAGGCAAAACATATATGAGAATATCTTTTAAACTTCAAAAATCTGAAATTATGTTAAAATAAAAATTTAAAACATTTCTGAAAAATAAATGATACTTTTATATATTAAGGAAAATTTCTTCCTAACTGGCATTTCTTATTTTATCCCCCTCAAATCATGTTTAAAGATTCAAAGATTTTAAAACATCCACACAGAATAGCAGCTTTTGATTAGACAAATTGTAGCAAATCCTCCCATCAATAATACAGTAGAAAGAAAATTGTGGTCACACAAAGTAACTTGAATGAGCACTACTTACTCATCTACTCTTCAAATGTTAATATTAGTGGAAGAACTGAACTAATTTTTAACAATGTTCTACCTATCAAGCTTAAAAATATAATGAAGTAGGTTGTCACCACACAACCATATCCTAATGTTAATATTAGTGGAAGAACTGAACTAATTTTTAACAATGTTCTACCGATCAAGCTTAAAAATATAATGAAGTAGGTTGTCACCACACAACCATGTCCCTTCTTTAGTGAGCATGGTATAAACTGCTATTTCATGAACAGGCTTAGAGAGCCCAGGGGACCCAGACCCCAGAGGACAGTATCTTATTTCTCTATCACATTACAAAGTCCATACAGCTCATTTTGATTAGTGTGAAGGAGCATGCAAGGCAGAAAACATGATTCCTAAAGAGTGCTACAGCAATCAGCAGGGCTTCAGTCAGGCCTCACTCCTTTGCACACAGCTTGGGAAGACAGGCAAGTCTAAAAGAAGAAAACATTCAACCATCATCAAAGAGGTGATCCAGTCAAGTGAGCCAACTCTGTAACCCAAACTGAGCTGTTCAAGTTGCTCAATCTTCAGACATTTTCTAAAGGTTAAGATTGTAAATAAAGACAGTTTAAACAGGCGAAGATGGAAACTGTGTAAAGCTAAAGCAGACCTGCTTCCTCATCCTCATCCTCCTCTTCCTCATCATCGGAAGCTGATGACAAGGGAGTTGGTGTGGAGCTAGCTTGATTATTAACATAGTCACCATACTGCATGCCTGTAAAGTGGAAAGCACAAACACAAGAGTCAAACCAACAGGAAAGGCAAGGAAATAAATCTTGACATTACATTAAAAGTGAGAGAGAACTGACATTCCAAAGAACATCCCAGCATGCATATTAATATCAGCAGATTATTGTCAAAACCAGAACCATTAGAAAAGTCTATGCAAAGCAGTTTAGTAAAGCAATTTCAATCTGAACTAACTGGTTTAAGCATGAAAAAAGTACCATATATTATGCTGACTTTGGAACCCACAGTGGTGTCCTCAGAAAATATTTTGAGCTCATCTCCATTTACCTTCTCCAGCTTTGAGGCTGTGGTGGTGCACCTCCCTGGAGAGCGTGCTTTCCTGGTGGACACTGATCATTTCTACTGAACTAAATTTGTATGGCTGCATGCTAAATGCATTCAGTACTAGGTTCCCTCTGCATGCTAATCCACCTTGGTGGTAACTCAGTTGTCTTAACGGAAAAGAATGACAGTTAAAAACTGTACAGAGCACAGTTCTCTGCTCAGTGGGGACACTGTGGCCCTTAAGCTCACAATGACACCAGTGCACTTTGTGAGACGCCCAGTCCTGTAGGTGTCACCCTATAGCCTACACGTGGGTGTGAAATAAGATCAGTATGTCTGAAGTCCACCAAGAAGGCAGACCATGGAAAAGACACAGGCTGGTGTTGCTCCCTGTGTAAGGCTTCCTTTGTCATACAGTGACTACATATTATTACTTAATCTGGTAAAGTCAACATGCAAAAATTAACATCCATAACATTTTCAAGGAAAATACAAGTAATCTAACTTTAAAATGACAACACTTTATAGATAGGAGCAAACACATGCTTACAAGGAAAATCTCATTGCTTTATTGAAAAGGAAAAACTGCAGACACAGAGCTGGTGTCTCCACGGACACCCAGTACGCTAGAAGCACTGTGGAGTGTCACCAATCACAGGCTCTGTGGCCTCATATGCTCTTGCCGTTACTTCTCGGGTGGCCTTTTTGGTTAATGTGGATGAAGAGAACTCATTTTGAGAGAACGAAAGTGGCTAATAAGCACATTTGAGTTCGGAGAAAAGCCAAGGTTAATCTGTAGGTGAGTAAAGCTTTGATCTTCCCACTAGCACAAAGCATCATGGGAAATCTGCTAGCTTTGCTGAACTGGGGCTTGTTTTGCTTTTGTGTTTTCAGCTGGTTTCACTCTGTAGCCCAGACTGGTCTTGAACTTACAGTACTCCTTAGGTCTCAGCAAACTAAGTGATGAACTAGTTTGCTGGGGTGAACTATCATCATACTCGGCTAGCTGGAACATTTAATACAGTTAAAATAGCAGTTATCTTGAATTCATCTGAGAAAGTAAAACTCAATATAAAATAGGTTCATGAATTACATGACAAATTGGTGTCTTCCAAATTCAGTGGCATGGTCCTCTAACCACCTACTTAAAAATTTAGCTAATATTAGTCCATAAGTTAAATATACAAAGAAGTTATGATTAAACAGATCAACAGCAAAAGGTTTTTCACAAAATAAATCCTTAAATTTAATGACTTACTTTAAAATGTCACACTTGCTCAATGGGCTATTGGTAGTGTACTCTAAAAGGTACACACACATATGTGTGTGTAAAGATGACACAAGACATATTCTGTTCGATGTATTAAAGAGAAGCCAGTAAGCAAACAGTGAGAAGAGAACCAGTCTTGAGGACTGCATTAGTACAGATGTTTATTGATGTTACTCAACAATACAAAGCAACTATATCTCTAGGTTTAAACAGATTTATTTCAATTATTAGGAAAGACTTTAAGCCCTAGTTGTCAGAAAATAAGATGGCTAAACAATGATAAAAATTCATATAGCAACAATTTAATTCAGTAAAGCAAGCATTTAAGTAAGAGAATAATATTATGTATTGTAGACTTTAGAATATATTGTAGTTACCCATTTACTATATTAGCTAAATGTCACATACCTTTCTCCCACCATGACTTTTAATATTTTCAGAAATTAGCTTACCTTTGCTTGTGCAAGTAAGCTCCACTAAAAGCTTAGGAATATTGATAGATAAGAACATGATGTTTCAGAACCACAAAAGAATGATAATAGCTTTGGAATAAGACCACTCCACATGTAAAGGTCCTGCTTCAGGTATGTAGAGTATATTCAGAATGCAACCACTGGGGAGCCTTTGCCACAAAGGGCTAACTGCCCCATAGCCAACTCTAGCATCCAGGGATCCCACAGTGCTTCTATTCAAATCCTCTTTAAGAGCTGAAACGCATAGCATGGGTTAGGTCAACCATAAAGTAAGAGACTGTAACATCGCCTCCTAGAGCTCAAAACCAGCCAAAGAACTATACAAAAACAACTGTTCTTACGTTCTAAAGTACTGGGTTAGCCAAGACTTACAAGCTATGAATTTAGTGAGAGCAAGAGGTAAAAAGCACTTGACGGGATGTGACATAATGAAGAGTACCACAGTTAACAGACTCCAGAACCTGAGAGGCCACTCCCCGGTAGCAGTGCCAACAGAACACTCAGGAAATAAACCCAGAAATTAGGATTTTTCTGTGGGTTCTCCTACTCAGAAAAATCTCACTGTTCTGATAATGCCTGGACCTTTTCAAGCATATTTCCTGTGAGTTTCATCTTTCCTACTAAACATGGAATACTGCTATTAAGGAAGTTGGAGAAAAACTCATTTTGTTTTCCTTTCCAGGGTGTGCAAACTAAATAAATCCACTTTCCTTGCCAATTGCTATTTCTGAACTTCTTCTAGAATACAGGGAAATTAAAATTATGGACACAGGAGTGAAATTCATACCCTCCTTGAAAAATAAACAGTAAAGAAAACACAAAGTCTGCCCTACCCTCGTTCACTGCTGTGGTCTGGGCACGCAGCTGATGCCCAAGCTGCGTGTGTTCTAGGTTTGAGCCCAGCAAGAACGGTGATACCGAAAAGCATATTTGGATTAAACTACCTACTACTACAGGTCTTCTGCAGAACACATCCTTTGGGACAGTTTAATAAAAGCTATCTTTATTGTCCCCACTGTAGCTATGCTGAAAAGAAACTGAACTGGTCTCAAGAGAACAACCCTGACTGATTTTTAATTCGAGAGTTTCGATTTCAGAGCAACTTTTATCTTTCCTAGGGTTATCTTTAGAGCAGCACTCATTAGAAGACTTCTCACAGGCTCACATGAAATACCAGCTTTACAATAAGCACTCAAATGCCCACTCTGTTGGTACTATTTTTCCACCCGAAGAAGTACCGTGCTAACAACCTTCCCCCTACGTAACAAAGGACACAGTAGTCCTGACTCACCTAAAGTTCATTCTGAAATACTGTACTGAGGTATAAAATCTCTCTGTGTAGCTACAAAGACAGTGTCCTCACTCCTTAAACTTAAGACTTCCTTTTCTGAAGATGCCTCAGGTACAGGCAAAGCATTTTAGAAAAAGAACTTCTCTGGCATGGTCCCCTTCAGGTGAGGCAACAGGGGTAAAGACAGTGAGTGTGCTTTCATCAGTCTGCAACCACTACTGTCAAAGAACTATCACTTTCAAAGTGTCTTGTGAGAGCAAAGCAAAAACAAAGAAATACTCAACAGATGAGCAGTGTGACAGAGCAGATAAACACTGGGACTCTGCTAGCACTCGGGAGCAGAGGGAGCCAGATACTGAGTGTGAGTTCAAGGGCAGCCTGGTCTACACAGTAAGTTTCAGGTCAATCATGGCTACATAGTGAGCTCCTGTCTCAAACAAGCAAGAAAAAACAACTGGGATTCTAGGTTCAATTTAGCTTCAGCTGCATTCTAGTTGTTAGCAATTAGGAAGTTATTAACTACTACACCCAGGCCTGCTGGATCCTGGAAACCTGACTGGGGCGACGCAGGAATGAAGAAACTACAGACACTGAAGAAATGACAGACACACATACAGAAAAGCTGAGAACCGGTAGGCTTTGCTCTCTATGATGGAGAGCACTTACTAAGCAACGCGGAAACTCAGCATGTTTATTATGTACAGCACGAGGAGGAGGGGTTAGTCTTGGTGGGAGGTCTCTGTAAGGGAACAGTCTCAGGCTGTAAACATCCAGGAGGAGGAAGCTGCAGTTGGGAGGAGGAAGCTGCAGTTGGGAGGAGGGAGGAAGCTGCAGTTGTTGCTTTCTGTGCACACTGTCAACATTCGTGCTGGGACCAGGGGAAGGCTTTGGCCCTGAGCCTGACCCGGAAAAGGCTTTGCCATGTCCATGGATCTGAGGCACTGGGGTCCTTGACATAGCCGTGCTCATGTCAAACAATACACATTCACTTAGGCCTTCCTCTGCTCCCTACATCTCCCCCTTTCTTATTTCTTAGATGTTCACGATGACTCTCCACGTTTAGTCCAGAGGTGGTTCGCTGTAATGCTCAACACCAGACTGCAAGGATGAGAAGAGGGAAGAACATAACAGCTGCTGTGCCCAAAAAAAGCGAAAGGAATGTCCTAACAGGTTAAACAGACTGGAGCTTGAAGCTTGTCCAGGTCTGTTTTGTGGTTTAGGAGAAACAATCTTACATAAGCCCTCTGCATTCCTAGGGTATGCTGACATAACTGGGCCAAATCCTCACTGTGATCATGGGCCCAAACACTCAGGGGTAGGCCTTAGTTCATTCCCCAATTGTACCTATCTGCTGTTGCTATAAGGGGCTGCTATCACACACGTGTCAGTAGTCATCTCTGTGACATTCCTGTCTGTATCTAAGGGTTGTAGCTCATCCCCAATAGTTGAAGAGAGCCCACCAGGACTCCAGGTATTTACAGGGGGTGCCATCAGTATAAACAGACCAAGCCACTAAATGAAAAAGTAGCGGTCGGGGACTGTAGGTCCAGTAGGCTTTTCCCCTGACTGGACTTACCTGGATAGATATGATTACCAGACACATCAGAAATATAGCCGCCGGGTTATTTCCCAACCCCAGGCCTCGTGCTCCCTCCTCCGACATTTGCATCAGCCTTTTTATCTGACCCCATGTTGGTGGTGTCGCCCTCCTTGAAGTTTGTGCAGGAGGCCTCCTCCTTGGAGAGCGCTCGACTGGCTTCAAGGGCCACACTTTGGGTTTCTCTGTGGGCTCCGGTCTTGGTCTCTTCACACCTGCAACCAGGAACTTCACTGCATCCACAGCTCTTTAGATGCCTTGAAGGTACCCAAAGTGGCTGTTCCACACCTTCAGGGAAGACACAAGAATACCCTCTTCCCCACATTAGCACGGGGAACAGGCCAAACCTTTTCCTGTCATGACATGTTTCCATAGCATCTTAGGTTTTATTCCCCTGTCCTGTGGTCATCAGTACTATTCTGTTGCCATAATGCCATCTTCTATATGATTTAAAATTTAATGTAAATAAAGCCTTGTTTAGAGACTTGGTAGGGGCAAAAAATCTCCCCCTCTTGCTTTTCTAACTGTTGTCTGAGTGACCTGTCTCTGAGGGTTGTAAGGAATGCCCATGTTGTAAGCTACTTCATGTTGGACACAACAGTTTTTTTAATGCAGAAAAGTTGTAAGCAGGAGCACTGTCCATCTTTAGGTGTTGTGGATGGCCCATAATACAAATGCAAAAGGCAATGAGAAATACTAGGATGGCAACCTCCCTGAGTAGACAGGATATAAACAACATGAGAACAGATAGCAACAGAAACATGCACAAACTACTCTCCCAAAGGAGATGACAGGAAGAACATCCATCTGCCACACAGCACTGGGATGTAACATCCCGGGGTCAATGCCACCATCATATGTGACAAGCTGGAAAGGACTGCAGTGAGTGCATAGCTTAACTATTAGCCTATCCTGTTCTCAGAAAATGGCAGATTCTTTTGTAAAGAGGAGGCGTTTTGTTGACAGAGAATGACTATCACAGGCTTTTATCAAGGTAACAACAGGGAAGCAGAGCAAGGACCCTGAGACCAAGTGTCAGCCATGCATTAGCATCAGCCAATGGCCTGGGGAGAGCTGAATGTGATCAAATATGGCAAACAAAGCAAGGGCTCTGACATGGAAGCAAGAGTGGTATAGCTTTTGATCTGGTGCCCGACCTACATAGGCTTGCCTTACTACATAGTAGCATTGGCTGTAAATATTGACAGGAGGGAAGGCAACATCTTTCAAAACTATGTAGACTGCAGAGTTGAGCTCATTGAGTGCACTGTACTTCAGAGCCCAAGTAGGAGTGGTAGGTAGCTACAGCGCTGCCGCAAGTGGCTGTAAGGACAGTTCTAGCTAAAGCAAGGGGTGAAGACTGTATGGCCTCAGGAAAATAACCCCATGGATGGATGTACAGTGAGTATATCTTGGATGGTGAAAGATGAGAATCAAGCTGGCCAGGGTAATCAGCCAAAGAGCACTACCAGGCAATTGACTGTAGCCCATGTTGTTGATTGCCTGCATATGGGATGGTATTTACTTCTGGCTCTTTATCCAGCAGTCCTGTAGTGTGTTTGAGGCCCTTTGAGATTAATTTTGCCACCAACTCATAGCAAAGGTTCAAAACTCTGGATGAGGAATGCCCTAAATCTAACTATTTCAAAATGCTTTGCAATTGCCAGAGTGCCCCAGTAGGGGTCATGGGTGATTTTGGGATTGCTAGTGAAAGAGGCATGCCTAGGACCCATATATATACCTGGACACAGACACTGTCATACAGCTAGAGCCATCAGAGCCTCAAAAGCAGAGCAGTATGGCATGGAGAAGAGGGACCAGTGTCCCCTCCTAAATTTTGGAAAATGGAGAAAGTTCTTGGATAGTAAGCTTAAGTACAGGTCTGAGTCAATTACATCTCCCAACTATTTCTTGAAAATCATAAGAGTTTTGAGAAAATCCTTGCAAGTTTCTAGCTTTTGAAGGCACACAGCATGCTCCTCTATATTCTTACCTAGGTACTAGAATGGAGATGCCTTTTGAATCTTTTCTGGAGAAACAGGTCTAGAGGTCTCTTTTTGAGACCAACAAAGCTCACTGCCAGTTTGGAAGAATCAGATGACTAGTAAGAAAGAATATCACCCATACAGTGAGCCCTGGCGTTTCAACAACAAATTCCTAACACACAGTAGGGCTGCTTTCACACCCTGGGAAAATGCTGTGCAGATAGACTATGATTAGGCAGGAGAGGGGTAAAAGCAAACTTTTCCAGATAGTCAGGATGTGGCCAAATGGTGAAAAGCAATGCTTTAAGTCAGCTATAATAAATAAAAATGTGATGGTACAGCAACAGATGATGGTTGGTGGTCCTGGCCCACTGCCTGCATGACTCTGTTTATAGCTCCTGAATCCTGGAACAGCCTCTATTTACCTGATTTCCTGACAGGGGTGTTCCAGCGGATAAGGAACTGCCCTGTAACTGGTTCTCCACCAAAGCAGTAGAGGCAATTTCCCCCCTGTGAGTGGTCACTGATCTACCCAGAGAGCTTCTCTGATGGCCAAGTGATCTGGGTGGCGAATTTCCACCAGGCATGCCATGTAACACTGACCAAGGCTGCTAGTGAACACCAGCAGTCAGATGACATCCCACTATGCCCAGCCTTTTATAATCATCCCGAAGATTTATGGGAGTAGCTGCAACTTGTATTTTACCCAAACCCCATAAAGGATTAAATCCCTGGTGTACTATCTAATAATAGTATGGCTTTGGCTATATAACAGGATTCCCATTTGGCTCAGATATGTCAGTCCCATAAAATCACAAGCAAATTGGGCAGGGTATACAGCCTAAAGCTCCTTGATGACCTCCAGCATCCTGACATCTAATTACAGTGAACTTGGTGATGGTGCCCACACCTTGCCGACTCCCTGTAGGCTGGTTGTGATTGGCTGAAGTGGCTACGCTGGAGGCCAGTGTATCATTCCACAATCATGGGCACATCTGCCCTGGTATCAATAAGCCCAAGAAAAGCTTTACTATTTAAGTTCAGCATCATTTCTGAGTAATTTTCTGTCACTCCTTGTACTCAGTAACATGGTTTGAAGACCCAAAACCCCAATCTTTATAGGTCTAAGCCATGAGCACCTTTCCTTGCTTAGTATTAGGGAATATCTCTAGGGGTACAATTTTTAATTTAGGTGTAATAGCAAACCAAGTTTAGAGTAACTGAACCAGAACCTTAATTTCCCCTCCATAATCGTCATCTATTACCCCTGAGTGAATCTGCAGTCTCTACAGGCTCTGGCTGTTTCTGCCTAAAATAAGTCCTACTGTAGCTGCTGGCTTGGCCCTGTCCCACGTTAGGAGTCGGTGTAAGTCAGGTGGTGGAACTGAGGTTGAACCCCCACTACCTGAGGCTGCCTAACAGAGCTGATCAATGGTGCATTTTGGTGGCTGAGAGTTATTCATGGGGACTCTCAGGGTAACAGTGCCTAGTGTTTACAGGGTTATCAGCCACTTCCCAGGCTCTCTTGGGGTTGCTGATGAATACCCATTTGTAAACGGCATTTGTTAACCCAATGAATTCCTCTCTGACATCTTGGGTATAAACCTGGGAGGCTGTGCAGATCACGGGAGATGGAGGGAAAGGGGCATGCTTTTATTAAAATTTGAAATCCATGTGGCTGCAAACACATGTAAAATGTTCTGTTTTTTTTTCTACTTATGTAACAGGCACCATTTCCCTCACTCTGAGCATATAACTTACTTAAGGACTGCTGCAAGAGATATTTTTTAAAGGTGACTAGAACATATTATGTCCAGATACAATCTAACTGTAATCCCTACGTACCTCCTTACAAGTTGTGTCAGCATTTTCAAAGCCAAGTGACTGGTAAGCACCTTTTCTACCTCAGGGCCAGTCATCTGGAGGCACCATAGGTTAAAAGAACAGGCAATGCTGGCTACAATTCTGGCTCTGCCCAAGAATCCCCACAATGTTTTCCCCTTTAGAGGGCAATTCTTGAACAGGCAATGCTGGCTACAATTCTGGCTCTGCCCAAGAATCCCCACAAGGTTTTCCCCTTTAGAAAGCAATTCTCTCTTTGCTTAAGGCAGCCATGTTAACTTGTTGGTAAGTTTCAACGTGTGTGTAACTGGTTGTTGGTTCCTTCATAAGTCTAGACCCAAGAACATGTGTGTGGCTATGGCAGCTCCATGGGCTATCACACTGTGCTTGGTCGTCACATAATTCCAAAACCCAGCCTTGAACAACAGCTAACCCCCTGGGTTGGCAAGATTTCGCCATGCTTAGCCAATCAGAAGGCCGGGCATTACCAATGAGGATGCACTGAATACACCCATGGGTACACAGGGCCACAGGCCTACAGGCTACACAGGCGTGCTTGACCTCCTCCTAGGACTGAAAAGGTAGTCTCATGAAAGCACACCATGTGGTTTGAATTGTGTGGATCAGGTCTGCTCAAACACGAACAAACAATCCATTAGTGTCCTCTTCAAACCTCAGCCGAACAAGGTTTGCTGGAAAGGAGTGACATTATGTCACCTTAAAACTCGCTGCAGCCCAGACACAAAGAGCAATTTCACCCTGGGTTGGGTGTCTTTATCCTCATAATCACTTTGCTCACTCAGTATTAGGGTCCAGGGCATGAGGCAGGTCAGGGCAAGCCCTGCTGTGAATTCAATTTGCCCCAATGCCCCTGCAGATCCAATTCTGCAGAGCCTGCCCTCCTCTGAGGAAATAGCTATGCATCTATGGAATCACACAGAAGACTCCAAACACTGTATAAGAAAATGGGAATACACTTGGGTTGTTCTGTCCTGTGTCTATTAGCTTCTTTCCTCTTTTTTCCCAAGTAGTCCAACTCCCTGTCCCTTCTTTTGGAAGCCCAGGGCATCTGAACAAGTCTAAGAACTGCTTCACAGTATTAACATAAGCCTGCCCATCTCTAGATTCTGCCTGCCTGTTTTACACCTAACGCTTACAATTACACCATACCTTTATTTGCGAACTTCTCCTTCATTTTTATCTTTATCTTTACCTTTAATTGCGAACTTCTCTGGGGGGCGTTCCCTCATCCGACCGATGCAAGTTCCCCATAGTCCAGGGTCTCTGTTCAGGCGCCACTTGCCACATCCAGCATGGCTAGGTACTGGAAACCTGACTGGGGTGACGCGGGAATGAAGAAACTACAGACACCGAAGAAATGACAGACACACATACAGAAAAGCTGAGATCTGGTAGGCTTTGCTCTCTCTGATGGAGAGCACTTACTAAGCAACCCGGAAACTCAGCACTGTTGTCTTACTAAGCAAGAGGAGGAGGGGTTAGCTAGTCTTGGAGGAAGGTCCCTGTAAGACAGCAGTCTGGCTGTAAACATCCGGGAGGGAGAGCTACAATCGATGCTCTCCAGACACACTATCAACATTCATGCTCTGACTGGGGGTAGGCTTTGCCATTTCCCTGAGCCTGACCTGGGGAAGGCTTTGCCAATTCCCATGAGTCTGAGACACTGGAGTCTTGGTATGCACATGCTCATGTTAAATACTACACATTCACTCAGGTCTTCATCCGCTTCCCACAACTAACTTGGCAGTCTTTCACTTAATCTCTAAGATGCAGTAGTTACTACCTCAGATGCTTGTTGAAAGCGTTAAGTAAGTCCTGTGTATCACATGCTCAGACACATCATACCTGACATGAACACATACATAAATACTGTATATGTTTGTTTCCACTATTTTATGTATATAATTGAAATCATTATCAGTTATTCTCTCTCTCAAAGTTTGTTTCAGAGGGTCTTGTGTAAGCCAAATTAGCTTCACACCTGACGTGCAGCTAAGGCTGGCTTGGCTTTCTACCTGCAACCCCTGGTTTCTTCCTTCTATCTATGTAGGTCATACTCTGTCTTCCTCTGGAGCACTGGGAGTCATTAAGGTGTCTTCACACATGATTTTTAAAAAAATAAATGGGAATGTATTCTAGAACCACCAGATGTTTTCCCAGATACACTGGATAAAATTCTATGTGGAGGCTGGAAGATAAAGCACTTATTGTGCCAGCATGAAGGCCAGGCTTCACACCCTCAGAAGCCATATTCCAGCCAGGCAGGTGGAGGAGCCACCTATAATCCCAGGGACATTCTAGCAGACAGGGGATTCCCGGGGTGTGGTAAGTTAGCTAGACTATACAGAATTGTCTAGCTCCATGTTCAGCTAGAAATCCTGCCTCAAATTAAAGTGGAGAGCTATTGAAAGAGACACGTCCATCAGACTTACACAGGCATACATGTACATCCTTCACCCTCATACAGTGAAACATGCACACACACATGCACACCACACACACACAAAAATAAAATCTACAAGTGCCACCATGCCTAGCTTCCACAAAAAGGTCTTAATAAAATAGTTACATGTATATAGGCTATGTATCTTCTCCAATACATTTTAAATCCTCTCTAGTTATTTAAAATACCTAATACAAAGTAAAAACTATATAAATACTTGTCGTGCTATATTGTTTAGGGAACAATACCAAGCTCAGTGGCTGCATATGCTCAGTACAGATGCTTCCTGGGTATTTTCAATCCATGGGTGGTTTATTAAGTCTTCAGAGCTAGAGGTTGGGGTCTGGATGGCAGTAGTGGTCATATGACCCCCAGCACACTCTCTAAAGATGGAGTGCTGCTCCTCTTCCAAGAGCTCCATTCATACAGACTATAACTTGCACAACCACAGTATTCTTGACTTACATGACAATTAGGTTATAGCTTATATCTACTCAAAGGCAAAAAGCAATCTGCCACTTAGAAAACAAATTCACACATCTCCAGCATTATATTTTTCTGTTACTTATGCAAGTAGCTGATCTTAGGTAAATGAAGACTTTGTCAACAGCCAGTAACAATAAAAATTAGTTACAGTTTAAAGAAAGTTTGAATTAGAAATCCTTTGCTCTGCTACTTATTAACCTGTAATCCTGGGCAAGTTACTTCAACTCTATGACTCTCAATTCTTTAATCTGCAAAACAGAGACTTGTGCCAAATGATTAATATGTGGATTAATGAAAAAATACAAAGTATCTTGAATGTTCTAGGTACTCAATAAATATTAGGAACTTCTTCGCTCTCTAAAATGTACAAAGAAGAAATTCTGTGGTTGTTTAGGGGCCAAGTGCATTGTAAAATGATAACTGAAGATACCATCAATGGAGAAGACACAAGAAGGCACCATTCAGAGCTCAAGTTCATGCTAAGCTAAGTCTTCCTACCACTGTGCCCGCTGGAAGGAAAGATTGAGGAGAACGAGATTCTATGCCTAGGCTTCCCGGCTTTGGGAACCAGCAAATACTTTTGGAGTTGATTCCTTTCAAATTAAGTAAGAAATTTTACAGCATATAATCTGATCGATTGACACAAAGGTTTCCATTGGCCACATAAACAACAAATAGAAGCAGTAAAAGTAGCCTAAGGATTTACAGTGCTTTTTCAGAACAGTGAAGATTCGGAACATAACAGAAGACTTTTTTCATAGTCAAAGCTAGAGATTGTCACACATAGTAAGTACAGTCCTTAAAATAGTCCAAGTGAACTAGAAATACAAACTCTGATCAAATGAAATACAGATTAGGCAGAAACATCAATACTTTGGAACTTTTGCCATATAGAAAGTAACCAAGAAAACTTGGGAAAGAAAGGACAGTGTGGAAAAACAAGATTCAAACAGTCTATGTGAGATCTGTCACTTCCTTGTTTAAGAATATTAAATTAACTGCATAGTCTGCCAATGATGCAAGTAGAGGCTACAATCCCACCATGACACCTCTCACCACCCCCCAAAGTATGGATGACTAACAATAATGACAAGCACAGAAATCTTCAAACAAGACACAAAGGTTCACTAAAATAAGATGATGATGGCTGATTTACCCTAAAAAGAAAAACGTCTAAATGGTTTAAAAAAGGAAATTCAACATCCCAGGACAGAAGAATTAGTGAATCCAAATTATATAAAATATCTAATCAAATAAATGAACATGAGAGACTAAATTGTCATATTTGAGTTCAGATTATAATTACTTTTTTCATGTTTTCAGTTAGTTATGGCTATACAGTCTGGAGTTTTCAAGTCAGCTACTGAGATGTGAGTGTGCATATGCATAAACTAACCAGCTTCTCACATACCTTTGGTCTGCATTTGCTCTGGGGGTGGTAGAGCTGAGGGCAAAGGCCCAACCGGGTGACTCGGAGCAGGAGGCATTCTTGATGATGAGGGTCCTGGCAAGACTGTGGACACTACGGAGCTGGACTTGGGAGGCTGGACATTTTCTGTAACAGGGTAAGATAGAGAGTCTGCAACTGAAGACAAGAAACCATTTCACCCACAGCAACAACCCTGAAACATGTTAGAATAAGTTTGCTAACAAAATTCAATGGATTTGAAGTATCAGGGACGCTCCAGTGCCACCACACTGATTTCGCATCTAGTGGTCCAAACAAACCAATTCCCCCAGAGTATGAAAATTGGTTCCTGATGTTTTAATAATTTGTAATGACAATTTTTTCTAAAACATTCCAAGATGTCATGACTTTTTTCAGACAAAACGAAATGTTTTTCTTTACAAACCAATGACCAGTACTTTTGATTACTGTACTATACAATGGTGACCAAGGTAGAGTGGATAGAGGTAATGAATTCTCTGAATTCTATAAATCAGCTCACTTTCATTTGGCTGTGTTTACTTATTTATTTATTCATCTATTCATTTATTTATTTGCAGGAACAACCTGGCTATTTTCTCCCAGTGGTAGAGGTCAGAGGTCCAAGAACAAGGTGCCTTAATGTTTGCCGTGGAGCTGTAGATGATCAACTTCTTCAGTTTCATATGGCCTCTGTGCATGGCTGGGTTCTGATCCTTTTGTAAGAACACCACTCATACTGGGTGTGGGTCCACCCTAAGGACTCCACTTGAACGCAATTGCTTCTTTAAAGTCTCCATCTCCAAGTATAGTTATATTCTGCAATAAGATTGCTTGGGACTTCATTAGGACCTTGCAACCTAACTTAAACTTAGGAGTTTGGAGGGGACACAACTCATTTCCTAACAGATTCACTGGATGTTAACTAACAGTGTAAAAGTGGGGAGTGGGGGCACTGAAAGCCTCCAAGTCACCACTTCTCTATACCCAATCATAAGTGACAAGGCATGGCCTTCCTATTCTTTGGCTATCTACCAATTTATCCTGTATCTCACTAAATACACTGAAAAGACTGCTGGCAGTTTTCTGTAATCAAACAGATGTAACAGATCAAGCAATCCACACTGGTCATATCTAATCTTGCTAAAAAAATTAGTATTTTCATTGTCCAATGAAGTTTTCTGTTCATTCTGAAGAGCAGATTAGTTAATATCTTCTACCTAGATTAGGCATTTAGGAAAAGGTCCGCAAGACTTCTGGAAAAGATGGTAGCTGGCAACACCTCAGGTGACCAAGAGATGTGTCAGGGTAAAAAAAAAAAAAAAAAAAAAAAAAAAAAAAAAAAAGGATGGATGGATGGATGGGGGCAGCTGTAAAGAACAGTGAAAAATACAATCTCAGGCAGATGACAGCTCTAGCCAGGGAGTCAAGGTGGAGGAGAAATGGAAGCTCATCCAAAAGGTAAGCCGGCAGCCTTACCCTCAGGACAAGCCCAAAGGGTTTACAAACCTCAGCACCAGTGATGGCCTTCCCTGGGCAGTGACTTCTCCCAGGGGATGATGGCAATGTTAAGAGTGCTGTCCCCAGGGGCCTTCAAGAAAGGGAATCTCTCATCTTCCACTGTTACTAGCCACTCCCTGTCTACTGTCTAACCAGATGCCCCATTCATATGTAATGAAGCAAGGGTCTAGAGGCTGGACCTCTAGAATTCAGTATCTATGATTCATAGTAGTGAAAATCACTGACAGGGCAATCTTAAAGACTGACCATGCAGGGAATGCTGGAAAAACCTATGGCAAGAGCAGTGACTACATAGTACGGGGGTAAACACACACAGGTACATACACAAATATGGGTGTCCATCTAAGAACCATGTCTGTAAATTAACTCAGGTCTAGGACTGAAAGAAATGTAGGGATATGGTACCAAAACAAAATGTGTGCTACTGCGCGAGCCAGGAAACACAGGAGTGAAGTGTGCACAACCGGGCAAGGAGATGGAAGAGTTGGAGAGCGGCTGCTGTCCCACGATTTTCAGTAAGCAGACTGCCACTGTGGAGACTGAAGACCTCGTCACTCCATGGCAAGGGTTTCAATGCTAGTGCCTCAACGTCAGTGGGCATGATGTGGGCAGCGAAGAGTAAAACATCGTCATCAGTGAGAAACAGATCTTTGGTCGAGTGAGAATTAGTGTCCAGTATCTTGATCGCATGTTATTGTTTAGCAGAGTGCTATGCATCTAAAGGAGGAAATGGTCATCTTGGGCCTTCCTACAGAGGAAGCACATGAGACACCTCCTTGGAACTTGCTCAATTACAGGCTCTTCAGCCCTGTCACACTAGGCCAATAATCAACATTTGGATTTTATTGAGATCCTGGTAATTCATGAACAAAATTTGAGAAGGTCATCTCTAAAGCATACAGATCCGAAACAGCTGTGTTTCTGAGTATGGCTATGTTCTACTACATTAATGTCAAATTTTCCTAAAAACACTGAACCTCTACTCTCCTATAACAGAGTTTCTGGTTATTTCCATCTTCACTAAGCCCCCAGTACTGCCACTTTCTCATTGTACCGCTCTAGCATGTGTTCTGCTTTCCTCTGATTGCGTTTACATCTTCCATGACTGTTACAGTCAAAGTGTGTGCGTGAGTGAGAGAGAGAGAGAGAGAGAGAGAGAGTGTGTGTGTGTGTTTGTACTTTCTAGTTTGTTTACTCTTTATGGCTAGCACTATGCATGCTTTCTTTATAAAACACGATCAGCCCAAAGTTCTGGAGATAATATATTTTCTCTGAAGAATTTTAAAGTTTTGCCTTTTTCATTTAAATATTTATTACCCCCTCATTTACTTCTTACATTAGGAATCCATCCTTCAGACTGCAGCTAAAATATCATTTCATGAAGAAAAACTCCCCTAAAGTCCACGAGCTCTCCAAGGACCACAACCCTCTGCTCCCTGCCCTGACATAGCAGGTGTGCATTTGTTGTCTGCTGCCACAAGTGGACTGTGAGCTTGAAATACGAGAATCTGTCTTCTGCCCACTGTTATCTCCCAACATCAGAACAACCCCTGGCATATGTCTGGCTTCCAGGTATACAGGGGATCGTGGCCAGACCTACCAACACTAAGGATCAGAGAGGCATGCCAACAAAAGAGCCTGCCTTTTTCAAAAAGGGAACTTGACTGCAGCTGAAGCAAAAACATATAAACTGACACTATGCAAAACAAGTTGTTCAACCTGTTTAGTTATAGCCTTGAAAGAGTACTATAGCTGCGTGAGGCACATATACAAGCATTCAGGAGGCAGAGGCAGCAGATCTCTGAGAATTCAAGGCCAGCAAGGGCTATACAGTGAGAACCTGCCCTCCCCACACTCCAAGATAGGGTTTCTCTGTGTAGCTTTGGACTCTATCTTGGAACTCATTCTGTAGACCAGGTTGGCCTCCAACTTACAGAGATCCACCTGCCTCTGCCTCCTGAGTGCTGGGATTAAGGTCTGCACTTCCAACACCTGATCCTTTTTTTTTTTTTTTTTTTAAGGAATAATCCAGTGTAGCTAGGGACAGCTCAGAAGGACCTAGATTCAGTTTCCAGCATCCACTTGGTGGCTCACATCTGCCTGCAACTCAAGTTCCAGGGTATTCAGCACCCTCTTCTGACCTCCACAGGCAACAGGCATGCACATGGTGAACATACACACACGCAGGCAATACTCAAATAAATAAATAAATAAATAAATAAATAAATAAATAAATAATCTTTGCTTGGTGTGGTGGCACATGTCTTTAATCCCAGCACTAGGTAGAGGCAGGTGGATCTCTGTGTGAAGCCAACCTAGTCTACATTGCAAGTTCTAGGTCAGCAATACTATATGGTGAGATACTCTCTCTTAAAAAAAAAAAAGAAGAAAAAAAAAAAAAAGCACCAACAGAAAATATAACCCCTATCTTTCAGCACATAAGATTCTCTAGGACCTGGTAGGAGACTCCATTCTCAGCTAGGACTGTGGCCCTCATTGAAGCTGTTCAAATTGGAGTCTTATCATACTATCTTTGAATCTTTTCCCTTCTCCAACTACATCAGCACATTTCTGAAGCAAGTGCTACCCTCTCTCTGTCATCACACTGGTTGGAAGCAGCTGTAGTCAGTCTCTCTGGTTTGCCTTGCTGGGTCCTGTATCCTCCAGGTGTCCATCACACTGCTGTCAGAAGTATTCCTGAACACCCAAAGCAACATCACCTTATAAATACTCTGCTGATGGCTAAAGACTGGGAGAAAGATACCTATGTTTTTCTCTTATTAATTCCTTTGAAAAAGAAAGAAAGAAAGAAAAGTGGGGCTGGAGAGATGGTTGGGCTGTTAAGAGCATAGCTTCTCTTCCAGAGGACGCAGGTTCCCAGCACCCGCATAGTGGCAAACAAGCATCTGCAACTCCAATCCCAAGAGATACAATGTCCTCTTCTGGGCTCTGCACAAACTGCACGCATGTGTGGCACAAATGTGCATGCAGGGACAACAACAACAACAACAACAACCTATACACATCAAAAAACCAATTTTAAAAGTTCCTCTCACATACCCCATGTCAGAGCTGGTAGAAACTGGGAAAACTGTACAAGTTGGATCTCTCTCGTCCTCTAGACTAGGATGAGAAATTCACAGTAGCTTTAGAATCAGAAAAAGAAGGGCAACAACAAAATTATGTTGTTCTCCTCTCACGATCTGCAGTCTCCAAAGGTGCCAGAGGAAACCAGTTTCTTTTATATTATTTGCATTTTTTTTCTGAACATTTTTCCAGTGTAGCTGCAGAATTTCTTTCTAACTTATATTTCTTTGTCAGATACGTCATCTGGATGTCAACACACAGAACACTATCAGCCACTATTATCTTAGTGTCACAGGTGCAGGAATCTTCTACACAAAGAGTGCATAATCATTTTTATACAAGCTTTTTAGATGTTTCTTGTATAACACTGTACATAGGAAAATGTTGTTAAGAGTCACTACTACTATATCATATGCTGCCCATATCACAATTCAAGAAATATTTATTTTAATCAAAATAATATTTGGTAAATACTTCACCTGGTCAAGATGTTATTTGCTAATGCTTCATGTGCATGTGTGTGAGAGCGTGTTCATGTGGTGTGCATGCAGGAGTGTGGGTAGCAGAGGTGTTTCTCAGGTGCTGTCCACTGCCTTAAAAGCTTGCCACACAAACCCCAGTGATCCACCCACCCATCGTATCACACAGCAGTGAACGTGAGTGCTCCATCACACCTGGACTTTAGTTTGTTCCTTTTCTTTTTTAACCTGGGTGCTGGGAATCAAACTCGGTACCTTCCACTGTACTGACTAAGCTGCCTCCCTGGCCTGGTACCTTGAACATTTTTTAAATCATGTGTTTTGTAAAACAAAGACTTGTTAAACTGGGGAAGAAAAAAAAAAAAGCACAAAAGCATTTCTTCTCATCTCTTGACCATAATTTGTACTAGATGACTTGACAAGGCTAGAAATTCATCTATAGAGACAGCTTATGGTTTTCAAATGGAATAAACTAATCCAAACCCCACAGTGCTGCAAACACACTTGGCGTGGACTCATGAATGAAATGTCTCCAGTGCACAGGCATGAGTTCTACAAAGGCCACAGAGATGGCACTGGAGGTCTCTTCTCCAGGTTTTGAATATGACCTCACCAACCACCTAAAACAATCAACAACCATCTAGCACAGTATTTGCTTAATTCAAATATACAGTTCAGTATTAATATAACATTCTAAATTAAAAATTGAAATACTTTGTCCGGGCAAGGGTACCTACCTCTCTCCATATTGTCCTTGACAAATGATTGTGTAGATTTTTATAACCTACAATAACACACTCAAAAAATTACCACAGCTTCATCAGCTATCATTCTGAACATACATTTTTTGTTGTTGTTGTTTTGTTTTGCTTTCTTTCTTTTCTTTTTTTTTGGGGGGTGGGGGGGGGCAAGGTTTCTCTGTGTATCCCTGGCTGTCCTGGAATTTCCTCTGTCGACCAAGCTGGCCTCAAAACCAGAGACCTGCCTGCCTCTATCTCCCCAGCGCTGGGATTAAAGGCGTGCACCACCACTGCCAACAATATGCATATACTTTCATTCCCTTCAAGAGGACATCGTTAGATTCAAGTTCACAACTTCAATTTAAGTAAGAGTATTCTACAGAAACAACATATGTATGTATGTATGTATGTATGTATGTATGCATATATATCGGGTGAGACATGGTGGTGCACACCTTTAATCAGAGCACTCTGGAGGCAGAGGCAGTGGATCTCCGAGTTTCGGCAGCCTGGTCTACAGAGTTCCAGGTCAGCCAGAGATACATAGTGACATCTCCTGGCTTGGGAAATATCACACACACACACACACACACACACACACACACACACACACACACACACACACATTTATTTTAGCGTATGTATTATGCATACCTTACATGTGTAAAATTTTTAACTCAACATTTAACTATCCCTTAGCAGAAAGACCAACCACCGAGGAGTCATGATCACTCCCTTCCCTCTTCATCCTCCATCACAGTGTACTAATGTGAGAACGAGAGAGCAGCTCTTAGCCCTAGGAAACATACTCTAAGGAAGCCACTGTGTTTCTGACCACCATTTTTTTTCTATAACACGAGAGAGCAGCTCTTAGCCCTAGGAAACATACTCTAAGGAAGCCACTGACCACCATTTTTTTTCTATAATAGTGGGGCTATAACTGGAAAAGTGGTTACCTAAGTTGAGCTAGTATGAAAACAAAGTACTGGCCAGCAAAACACATTATCAAAATAGACTCTTCAACTTGTCCAAGACAATTCATGTTAAGGACAAGCACTGCAGAGGCAGAAAAGACATCAACAAACACTGGCTGAGATCTCAATCAAGGTGTGGAATCAGGTTCTTCAAACAGAACATTGAGGAGTTAACTATGAACGGGAGCATAAGAAGGGTTTGGGAGATTCAGCAAAATACCAACAAAAACAAGCAAATACAGTGCCTACCAGGAAATGTCATCTTTAACAAGACCAGAAACTTCTGTCAATCATCTTTGGTGAATTTCATACTCAGCTTACCATTATTTGAAGGGTGGTTGTTGGCTGGAGTCAGGGATCCCATTTGGTTTCGGATAAGATTGTCTTGGGTGGAAGGAAGGCCGGGAGCTGACCACGGTACAGAACTATATCCTGAATGACTCTGCTGCTGCTGCTGGTGATGCTGGGAAGGTGGAGGTGGAGGTCGGGATGGATAGGTAACAGCTGTGCTGGGGCCAGAATACGAATCTTTAGCTGGCCTGGCAGACGAAGCACTCTGTGAGGTAAACATTTGCCCATACGGCTCACTGGCAGGCAGTGAGGGATATGAAACATTAGGATAGACAACACTAGAAACAGTTGAGGCAGGGTAATGACTACACGTGGAGGGGTAGCCCTGAGAAGCACAAGAGCTGGCAGGATATGTGGCTGGACTACTGTAGCGATTCCCAAAAGAGGAATAGGGCTGGGAGGCACTCGTATATGAATGGGATGCTGAGGCCGGAGCTCCTTGGAAAGATCCTGGAGTGGATCCCCCCATGTGAGGGGCAGGGGGACCTCTGCCATACATCTGCTGTGCTCCTGGTTGGTTTGCTGAGCTGGGAGTCCCCACATTTTGTGTTGGTACTGTATACGGACGAGAATAGTAATTATCACACTGGTTATCCAATGGCAATGAGGTCATTTTCCCAGGTCCTTGAGAGTAATGTCCTGACGGGGCCATATAGTTTTGATGAGGCAACCCATACCCAGATGGAACTTGCATTTGACTCGGTGCTGGACCTGAAAAAGAAAACCAACTATTTACAGTGTGGCACAAAGATATGATGTGCAAATAGCTCCTATCTAATGTTGACCCAATTAATTTACTTCCCAATAACCCCAGCATATTATAAATAAAACACGTCATAAGCTTATCATGTAGCTCGGCAGTTTTCAACCTGTGCACTATGGCCCCTTTGGCAAACCTCTGTCTCCAAAATTATTTATATCACAATTCATAACAGTAGCAAAGTTACAGTTATTAAGTAGCAGCAAAAATAATTTTATGGTTGGGGAACAGTATTAAAGTGTCACAGAGTTAGCAAGGGTAATAACCACTGATGTAGCGAGACTCCAAGATGATCCCTAATGATCAGCCATTCTCCCTGCTGCTCTAACCCTTGAGCAGTCCTCCCTTACCCTATAACAGGGCTCATGGCCTGGGCAACATCAATGGTGCTGATACAACACTTCCAAGATTAGATCAGCCTTAATCTCTCTCTCTCTCTCTCTCTCTCTCTCTCTCTCTCTCTATATATATATATATATAGATATAGATATAGATATAGATATAGATATATATCTCAAAAGTGAGTTATGGCAAGAAGGCCATGTAGTAAGGAATGGACTCTGGCCAACAGCCAAGGAATAACTGAGGCCAGCAACCACATGAATATGCAAGCGTCCTTCAGATTCAATGCAGTCTTGAGATGACAGCCCAGTCAATAGCTTGGCTATATAATCTGTGACAGACCACAACAACCAATGGGCTTTCAAGTCAATATTCCTTAACAAACTATGAAATCAGGGCTGGAAAGACAGCTCAGCAGTTAAGAGTACTGGCTGTTCTTCCAAGAAGACCTGCGTTTGAGATTTCCCCAACACCCACATAACAGCTCACAACTGTCTGCAACTCCAGTCCCAGGGGACAGGATGTCCTCTTCTGGCCTTTAACCCCAAACCTGAAGGCCATGGCAAGAAGGATAGCTTTGAGTTTGAGGCCAACATGATCAAAACAAGTTCCAGGCTAGCTAAGGATACTTATCAAGACCCTGACTTAAAAGAAGGATGGAGGGGTTGCAAGAGGAAGGGAGAAAGGAAGGGGAGTATCAGACAAGTTAACCAAAACTAAGGATGTATGAAAAAAAAGCCTTGGGCTGAAGAGACAGCTCAGAGGTTAAGAGCACTGGCTGCTCTTCCAGAGGTCCTGAGTTCAATTCCCAGCAACTACATGGTGGCTCACAACAATCTATAATGAGATCTGGTGCCCTCTTCTGGCCTGCAGGCGGAACACTATATACATAATAAGTAAAATCTTTTAGAAAGAAGAAAGAAGCCTTATAGAAACACACAACTTTGTAAACTAATTTTAAAAATACAAGAAGGAATTTAACTGGACAGTGCTGCTTCCAGAAGACATGGTTTATTAAACAAAAGTGTCGGTGCCAGGCATGGGATATCGCCCTAGATGTTATTCATCAAAGGGGCCCCAAAGTTCCCTTCAACAACACAGGCTATTCCCAATGCCTGATAACCCACTACAACTAAATGGTAAGATCCTATTGCAGAAGACACACACTCTTGATGTAGGATGTCCTTCTGTATGCTGTGAATATGTGTTGCTTTTATTGGTTGATGAATAAAGCTGTTTTGGCCTATGGCAGGGCAGAACATAGCTAGGCGGGAAATCTAGAGAGAGAAAGAAGGCGGAGTCAGGAAGACTCCATGCAGTCACCAAAGGGATAAGATGACAGAACATTACCAGTAAGCCATGGATGCGTGGTGATACACAGATTAGTAAAACTTGGTTAATTGTGAGAGCTAGTCAGAAATATGCCTGAGCCATTGGCCAAACAATTATAATTAATATTAAGTCTTAGAGTAGTTATTTGGGAACTAGCAGACTGGACAAAAACCCTCCAACTACACATTCTGGCTGCAGGATACAGAGAAGTCAATCTTTAACTACCCAGACAACTTCCTGCTGCCAGGGGTACTATGCAGACTGCTGGAGGACAAAGGACATCAGAGCTCTTACCCAGTGCTAGACTCTGCACACTGCAGTACTAAACTTCCAGGCAAGGTGTACCCATGGGAAATCACGGCAGGATGCTTTTGGGGTAAAGAACTTTCCGATCTCATTTAATCTTGCTCTGAGGGGACTCATACCTGGTACTGTAAACCTGGTCAGAAGCCCAAGGATGAGCAGGTCTTAGGAGAAAATCTACTTTTATTGGTGTTGTTTTGTTTTGCTATTCCTCTTTTTTTGCTGTTGTTTTCTTTTTTTTTTTTTCCTTTCTTTCTTTTTTGAGACAGCATCCCACTATTTAGCCATGGCTGGTCTGAAACTGTAGTAGAGCAGATTGGCTTGGAACTCAGAGATTCACCTGCCTCTGAGATTAGAGGCATGCACAACCACACTGGGCTTGATTTTATTTTGAGGCAGGGTCTCATTATATAGTCCTGGCTAGCCTGGTAGGAACTCACTATGTAGATGAGTCTAGTCTGGCATGGTGACTCATTATATAGTCCTGGCTAGCCTGGTAGGAACTCACTATGTAGATGAGGCCAGTCTAGTCTGGCATGGTGGCATACGCTTAATCTCGGAGACCATGCCAAGGCTGCTACTATTGTTTTGATAAATGGTCGTGTTGTCAAACTTCTAAGTATGTTTATACTCAGATCAGAGCTACTCTCAACCTTGATCTGAGAAGCTTCTTCTGGCAGTGGCAGCATTAATATCTGCTGGGCATATGCGGTCAGCATACTAAGAATGATTGACTACTGAGTAATCAACCTAAACAGCACATCTACCTTACTCCCCACTCCTCCAAGGCTTGGAGAACATCCTAGAAGACTAAGAGTGGACAGAATTGTAAGAGGGGGCTGGAGAGAAATGGCTCAAAGGTTAAGAACACTGGCTGCTCTTCGAGAGGACCCAGGTTCAATTCCCAGCACCCATATGGTGGCTCACAGCCAGATATCTGTAATTTCATTTTCAGGAAATCCAATACTCTCTTCTGGACTCCACAAGACCCAGACATGCATGTGGCACACATAAATACAAATGGGAAAAATACTTACACACATAAAATAAAAGTAAATTGTAAAAAAGGTATGTATGTGCTTAGGCAGTGACTGGGCTATAACTGAATCCAGGACTCAGATGTGGTAGGAGCTCATAACTGAAGATCCTCTGCCCTCACTGCACTGAACACAACTTGCCTGAGCCGGGCAAATGACCACATAGGCCAACAACAGGATTCTAGTCTCAGTTCCAACTACTTTTTAACAGACCCCAATTACCATCCCTACCATACCCAATTCCAGCAAGCCCAAGGCCTTGTACATTCGAGGTACAAGCTCTACCACTTGAGTATCGATCTAGTTTTCCTGCTAGGTAAGGAAATAGTGTAAGGAAACAGGGATTTGTACCACACCTCAAAGAAAGAGTACCAACAATAAAAAGTTCACACTTATAAAATTACTGTACCACTGTACTCCTTGTCAAAAAATATCTGTTCATAAGAGAGGAGTAAAAGTTACTTTTGCTTGTTCATGATCACTCTGTAATGTAGGATAAATTAGTTTGGGACATGCAATACATATTCTATAGCCAACAAAAAGATCATTTATAATTAGCTGTAAAGGAAACCAATATCCACTTCCATGATTCACAGACTAAGTAGAAAACCATATATTATTTTACAAAGTTAACAACTTACTCTAGGTTATTTACCTAATAACCCCTCTAGGTTATTTACCTAATCACAATTCACCTGAAATAACTTGTTTACTACAAAACAAAGCCTCACAAGTCTTTCACCACCTTGACAATAAAATGTAAAAAGCCTCGACACTTAAATATTTCTTGTCACTATAGCTTCAGAACTGAACAGACAGCCCAAGTCAAAATATTGGTCCTCTGCTTAATTGCCGACTTGGCTCATTCCTGCCACATGGTACAATGATGGAATATAATTGTGTCTGTTACAACTACTTGATCCCACTCCTGAAAACGGCCACACTGCACCTATCAGTGAACTACCCACCAGAAGTCACTGACTTTCAAGTTCATTAAAGAAAAGCAAGGGGAGAAGGGGAACGGAATATCTAACCATGATGGGGCGGGGGTGGGAGTGCTCCTTTTCATTACTCATTCAGCATCACCATCTAAATGACCACACAAAGAGAACTTAGCAGCAAACACACCTGTACTCCCAGAGGCAGGTAGATCTCTGTGAGTTTGAGGCCAGTCTGGTCTATATAACAGAGTTCCAGGCCATCAGAACTGTATAGTGAAGCTCTTATCTCAAAGAAGGCAGTGAAAGAGTGAAAGGTCATGGTAGAGTGGGGAAGGGAGACAGGCAGGGAGACAGGCAGGGAGGCAGGGAGGGAGACAGGCAGGAAGACAGGCAGGGAGACAGGCAGGGAGACAGGCAGGGAGACAGGCAGGGAGACAGGCAGGGAGGCAGGTAGGCAGGGAGGGAGGCTGGCTGCTACTTGAAAACACACATACTTAAAATTTTACTTTAGCTTAGAGCTGGAACATACACATTGAGTAGAAACTGTATTTTAAGTTGTGACTGTTTCATCTTCTCTTGGCTGGTGACAGGCCTCCACTCCTTCCACTCTGAACAGCGGGCAGTAAGCCCCAAGCTAAAGATCACCAGCAACAACTGACACTGACCTGTGGCTAGCTTGTTTCTGGATAAAATGTTCAACCAGTTAGATTACAGCAGTAAATCCAGGACTGCCAATATGGCTCAGATGGTTAGGAATTTGCTACCAAGCCTCATGACCTGATTTTGACTCCTTGGACCCATGTGTTAAGAGAGAAGTGACTTCCCAAAGTTGTCAACTGATTTCATACCCATCAACACACACTTGCAGGCACGCACACAGGCACACTACACCAAACGCAATTTTAAAAAGAAGTTATTCCATTTTACTATGGTCAATGAGGCATATGTCCACGTCCTAACCTGTGACTATGTGGGGCTGCATGGCAGAGGAGAATT